AACCTCCAGCTCAGCCAACCTCGGCAGGAAATGTTTCACTTACCACATTTTCGCCACACTGCCGTAGCCCTAGACCAAAAACTTACTTTTTCCAAGTCTTCAACTCTATTCAAGTTATCATACCGGTGTGATACTCGAGTACCCTACTAGTACCCCACGCCGCCACCCCTACCCTATCATACCGACCGCTACGAGGACACACTTGCAAACAAGAAATAGTTATTCAATTGGACCCGTATCCGGGTATTATACCGATATCTATTAAAATACAAATATCTAGGCTAGACCACTATACCGCTTCCATTTTCACAATTCATACCCATTTTTGCTCCTTCCTCCCCCTGTTTCCCTTCTTTCCCCAGCCCGACCCATGCCCACAGAGTGTGATGATGGCGGTGATGGCCATGATGATGAAATAGAGAAATAGAAATTAATACCATGAAAACAGCCACTCCTCCCATGATTTTGTTTTGTTCGTAAAAGCAGCCCAAACTCCCGACAAAAAGATGTAACGAAAAACCGATAGAAAAGAAAAAGGTATGATAAGAAGAAGGAAAAATTATGTACTACTAAACGACAGCGAAAGGAAGAATAATTAGATCATGAGGTACTGTACAGTACTGTACCCACATCCTCCCCCCCTCAATCCTCTCCCACAAATAGATACTTCGATTCTTCGAAACCTCGCTTGGGGGAGACCATATCCGCTCCGAAACCCCCAATCCATTGACCTTATTAAAGAAGCCTGAATCCTGTTGCATGTCTGCGCACTTTACGCGGATAGAGTCCCCATGAGCATCGACGACGCACTCGACGCCAATAATGAATAGCGGCCAGAACAGCCTGCTGCTGCGGCTAGCCGTAGGAATACAATTCACGTGATCGAGGATCTCGCGCACGGTGTTTTGAAATAGAGTGCGAGGGTGATGGGTAGGTACGCTAGCCGGTCAAGGTATAAGAGTACAGCACGCCGGTAGATATTTGAAGCGTGCAGCAAGTGGCCGTTCCCGGCCGCTTCGTGGGTCATCGATGGCGAAGTGGGCAACGTGGAAGTCTGGAAAGGATGGCGAGAAGGCGTTGCTGCGTGAATTGTGGTTGGTCTCTAACCCGACAGATCGGCCCTCATTGCGTTCTATGCAAGGCAGAAATCGTCTCGGCCATCGTCCTCATGTCCGCATAGCAAGGTTTCGCCGTCGCCCCCGATGCCTAGATGATTTGAGGTTGTGGTCGGGGCCATCTAGCTGAGCATATTAATAGAACCTAGGTCCGCTAGTCCCATGAAAAGGTCTCTATCATAACAGGTAAGGCTTTCCAAGCCCCACTCGTCACTCGACTCGAAAATCATGTCCAGGTAGCCTCCTCATAGTTGAACTCCCCAGTTATCGACCGAGGCACATGTTATCCCCACCTTTGAGCCTCCTTCCCGACACACCTCATGCCCATCAATTTTTCACGCTGGCAAGATGCGTCTCGAACTGCGCAATGCCTGTCTTTCAAATGTCGTGCAACAGAAGTATTAGTAAGACGGCCATTGCTGATGCTGTCTTGGCGAGATTGGGCGTTTAAAAGTGTGATTGAGGCGTTCTTGTGCTCCCGGGCTCAAAGGAATTATCCTCCGCCGACGATACTTGTATTGCCGATGGGTGTGGAGGCTCCTAGAATACATCCAGCGGTGAGCTTGCAGCGCGGGGCATGTCATTGGGTGATGCCTGTGATGTGGGCGAGTGGCTGCGCACGCGCGATTCGCTGATAGGGGCATCGGCGATTGGGGATAGACGCGACGGGTTGGATCTTCTGTCCATCACTAGGGCCCCTCTTCCCTCAGACTGGAGGTGACGCTGGATAGTGCGTAAATTAGTTCCATCAGAGCTTCGTGACTAAAAATGCTACGTAGAATCCTGCTGACGGCAGGGATTCCCAGGACCGTCAAGTGTCACTATCGAAGTGCGAACGGCCTTGTCGAAATAATCAATGAAAAAGCGAAGATTTGCCAGATGATCGGCAGTTTGAAGAAGAAGCGGCGAGTGAATTGCAGTAGACGAAGACGTGGAGGATAAACGAGAAACCGACAAATAATCACCCGTCCCGTAACTCGAGTCGGACCACGGGCAGGGACTGTAGTGTAATCAATAATGAGGTGTAAAAGCAAGTTCTGGGTCGGCAATGACTGAGAAGAAAAAAAGGGAGCCAACTGCGTCAGAACCCAGATCCTGCCGGTAGGGAAGGGTGGGGGGGAAGGAATTGCACACTTCGCTTGAGTTTGAAAAGAGTAACGGACAGAAAAGGAAATTACAGGACAAAAACGCTTTAGAACGTACCAAGCATCCCATCATCGTACAACAAGTCAGACAGGTTACCAGTGCCCGCCGGTACATGTTGATGATGAAGATTGCCTATTCCCACACCGACGCCATTCCACCCTGGGCCTCCATTCTGATGGTGATGGTTAGGGTTGTGGAGGTGATCATCGCCCATCATTCGGGAAGTGGCATGCATGGAGGCAACCATGGGAGCATAGGAAACCCCAGTGGTGGTGACTGTCATTGAGGCCGAAGGATGATACGAGGCGCTCGAAACACCAGTTACCATTTCATACAAGGGAGCTGTGGAAGGTGCAGAAGACATGGGGTAATGCTGTGACGAAGGGAAGCTGGGTTCGTACTTCGATTCATACTTTGGTCCGTATTCGGACATAGGGGAAAGCAGCATGGAGGACGTCGGTTGTTGCGGCGGCAGGGAAACATGGGAGTAGGGCGACTTGTGATAGTGATGTACGGGAGACTGCCGGTATTGCTGCTGCTGAGACTGTATGCGGTACTGGGATTGCGAGCTGGCCGGGTAGGATGGGGTATAGGAAGAAGAGGACTGGGGTGACCTTTGACCTTGAGTGATTCTCTGTGATGGCATGCTATTACGTGAGATTCCAGAAAGAGCTGGACTCGTTCCAGTGGAAATGGCTGAGCTATTAGCTGAACGAGTCGAGCTCGTCCTCGAGACAGCCGAGCTAGAATTTGACGGAGGTTCCATATTGACAAAATCGTAGCTTGTGATAATGCTCAGTTTCCCGACGCCACTATTTCCATTCCTTTGGCTGTTGTCGTAGTCGCGTCCGTTGCCATCTAAGGATGTCTTTGATCTTTTTGACCTCAACCCATTCTCACTCACACCCGAGGTTTTCTCGTCACCCTTCTTCTTGACAATCTTCTTCGCGTCCTTTGGGTCGGCAACCGGTGTTTGAATCGGAAGATGCAATCCACGAAGCTTTCCCCTACTAGCTACACCAACTCCCCACGTGAGTTGTGTCCTATAACCTTTACATCCCATTCCCACATCAAGACATGGACCACAGTAAGGCCGGCGACGATCACACTTGATTCCATTTGCCCTGCAAGTGAAGCAGTCCTCAGCAGCTCCAGTGGCGGGCGCTCGGCGGCGGCGTTTCTTCGCAGGGGATGCCGGGCCTGGGGGGGTGGCAATTGCTGAAGGTACCGCAACGGTGGCAGGTTGCGAGAGCATTGCTGTCGACATTTGCTTTTATAACGTGATCCAGAGGTTGAAATCAAATTCTTCGGAAGAGAAAGAGTAGATTTAGAAAGCTTTCCTGGGAACCTATTTCCGGAGGAAGGCGAGCCTTTATATGGGGAACAGTAAAAAAAAGTAAAATATGCAGGGTAAAGGGAATGACAGCAACCTTGGTTCTGGGCGGGTGAATACGTAATTAGCGGCCAAGGGCAGGAGTTACAGGACAGATAGGAATCGAATATTGGTCAATATTGTTCTCTTTCTTTTCGGTCCGTGGATGTCAGCAGTCCATAATTCGAATTCGACAGTTGATTATAGCTCCTGTTGGGATTGTTTGGTCTGGTAAGATGAGAAGAGACTGTAGAAGGCCCGGGAGAGATGTTTGATGATAGATTTTGGAGATGATGATGGGATGAAGAGATGGAAGGATACCCGATTGATAGGTTGGGATGATGGAAGTTTGTGAGAATGGTAGAGATAGCACCGTATGTATGCGTGTATGGGCGAGGAGGTTGGGGGGGGGGGGGTATTGAATGAATATGTATGTGGGGAGTGGTGTGTGGGATAGAAGAGGAGGAGGAGTGAACGAAAGGGATTTTTAAGAGGGAGAAGCTGGAGGAAAAGAGCGGCAAGTGGCGGGCACCAAGAACTATATGTACCTAAAGGGGGGTGTTTGATAGGGGGGCTGTCCGTTGAGGAAGGATGGGAGGGGGAGGCGGGAATATCAGGGCGAGAGAGCGGCGGAGGGGAGTTGAAGGTACAGTAGGAAACAAAGATTTAGGGATGGTAGGGAGGGAAGGACAGGTGTGGTGTGGATGAGCATAACCAAGTGCCAGGAACTAGATTGAACCTTTACAGAGGGGGAGAGACCAGCAAGGCCTGCCACTCAAGAACCTGGCGGAATGTAATGTAAGAAAAGCAGCTTATGGGAGAGATATCATACTCGAGCGCTGTGGTTTACTGTAGTGCACTGTACTAGGAACTGGTTGCTCTACGGTAGCCTTATACTCGAGTATCATACTGCGCTGTCTCTTGGACAGGTCTTGTGAGCGAAGCTTTTCACCGATGGGACACAAGGGACCCAAAATTGACTCGATGTATGTCTGGGACACAAACACACACCCACTCACTCACACATAGAAGATCTCACAATTTGTTCGGGTATCTCTCTATTTCTGCTCCATCTGCTTAACAGACATTAATAGAGATTGAAGAGGCACCTCGTAAATTTTAACTACTCTGCGCCGCAAAAGTCCGGGGAGACAAACCAACATCTGTTGGAGTAGGAAGCTATAAGTACGAGGGGAGAAAACCCGAGGAGGAAAGCAAAGTTCCATAGCTCCATCATTGTTCTCCCACTGTCTGATTGACTGTGGCCGGGGCCGACCTTGCCTTGAGACGGTGGACCGTTACATCTATGATACATCTCAGATCGGTTCGGCCGAGGCCCTGTAACCCAGCCTGGAGGCAAGGGGAAGAACAGAGGGGGGAGGGGGACGGGGGGGGGTGCACATAGTAGAGGTGCTAGGTAGAGTACTGGTATGTATTGCTGAGTAGGGAAGGGGCGAATTAAGTGAGCTTGAGAGACAGTCCCCCCCGTTGCTAGCCCGAAGACAGACTACGGTACTACAGCTATGCTGTTCCCGCAACAAATGACCCCGGAGACTACCAAAGACTGTCTCACGGATAGCTATCGGCGGTATCCTACTATTCAAGCGACCAAGCGGATCATTAGAAAGTGCTTGAACGAACAGGCGTGAGCGCGATCCTACTCTCATACAAACGCGGATGCAAAAAAGTAAAGGGTAAAAAAAGGGAGATAAATAAAAAATAAAAAAAAATAAAAAACATGAAAACATGAAAACGGAAACCGCGGACTAGGGATGCAAGACAGATGAGACAAAGCGCCCGTCCCCTGCTACTACTCGTGATGATGATGCCCTTGGGGAACATCCGGCGTTGCCAATCAAGTCGCACAGAATTACCAAGAGTAACGACTCTAGGGACAAGCTCAAAGAGCTGGGCATGATCAAAGAAATTGGAAAGAGAAACGGAAAAAACAACCGCCCCCGGAGGAACCTTCAATACCACCCCCTCCATGACATCTCCATGCGATACCGGTATCATATCACTAACCCTTACCTTCGTTCGTAACTTATTCATTGCGTCAGGTTCACATTCGATATCTCCTTGATCTCCCCTATGTCCCATCTATCTTCGCCCCCAGCTTGCTGTGCTATATCCTCACCACTCTCATACACACCCCTCCAATAGAGCTCTAATCAACAAGGATTGGACGCTCTGTCATAAGACGCTCCCCTTGGTACTGGCCATGGCTCCTACCTGCACCCCCATCCCATCCCATTCCGCATCCATCCTCTCTGCAAAGCTCAACTCCTTCACTCAAAAAGTGGACCAGTTTAATCGGTGGGCCGCCCAGACAACCTTACTAGAATCCGCAGAAGACAAGACAAGACAAACCTCTCGTAGTGCAAAAGCCGTTGCCATCCTCGTGCCCTCCCACATGCGGGTCGTCTAGCACGACACCAACCTGTCTCGGGAGTGGCTTCATTGCAGAACCACTGTGTACAAGACAAAAAACCTCTAACACCACCACATCCCCACAGCTCCTCTTCGCGGTCGGCGGTGCGCCATAATTGCCACTATGGACACCCCCCAACACCTCGATTTAGGGATAAAAGCTGCGAGTAAGAAAATTAGATGCACGAGGCGCCGAGGTCCCGAAGGGCGGAGGCCATCGGAATGTTCTGGAAGACTTCCAGAGAACCCTCCTCCTTCCCTTTGCATAATAATTAGACGATGGGGCAATTGTCCTGACTCTTCTGCCAGAGGCATGGGTCCAGCGCGGTTTGGGTACGATAAGCACGTTATGTTACCTGCCTGTTGCCTCGGGGAGTGGGGAAAAAGCTCTGCGAGTACAAGGAGAAGCGAGGGATGATGAGGCGAGGGAGGAGAAGAAAAAAGCAAAACCAGGTCGAGGATAAGGGATTGTTGGAAATGGAAAAACAAAATAAATAAATAAAATATTAGACTCTCAGTAGAGTACTGTACTGTGCTCGAGAGTAGAAGTACAGTGGTGTACAGCACGAGTACGAGTGGCACACAGTGCCAACATATCAGAAATATCGGTGGTACCAGTAGATTAGCAGCAGGAACTATTGTACGAAAAAGAAAAGAAGAAAAAAGCCACATATCGATAATAAACCGCCGCATAAACTCATCGAATCCAACGGAGATACAGTAATCACTGATCTGGCGCGTATCAAATTTCCCATTTACCTTAAAGTGCTTTGCTTTATCGCGCTGTAGCTCACCTCCTTACCTCACGTCAAAGTGCTGTACCAGCTGCTCCCGAAAATTCCACGAGCTCATCCACAGGTATCATCATTAACGCAGCCCAGCTCAACTCAGCGCGCACCAAGCAAGCAATACTGCACCAATGCCGGAAATCCGTCCACTGAGCGATTGCAACCAATATCATGCCATCTCTCTCCCCTTCCTCCCTACCCGCCTCCCTCTCTCTCTATTCCTTCCTTCGTTCTTCCTTTCCCTCATCACCAAATTAAGGAAGTTATAGAAGTACAAAAGAAAAATTTAGTTTAAAAATAAAAACTAGGCAATACTACAATATCCACCCGCGAACCACCGCTCCCCTTTCAACGTGCTTTTCGCATTTCGCATTCACAGCTAGGTTAGCTTAAAACCGTATGACCGATAGATACGTCCATCCCTCCGAAATGTCCGAGGGCCAAGGCTATACTGGACTGGGCTAACTGCCCCTTGACTGAATCAATGAACCCTTCCTACCTATCCTCATCAATACCAGCCCAGGTAAGTAAGTGCCGTAATTCATATGGATCCAGCGGGTGGGGGGATGGATGGGGTTGGGGGACTTTTCTCCCCTTCGGGAGCTGAAATCAATAGGCATGACGAGGGGCGGATTTCTTGGTGAGTGGCTTCTGGGGGGGCTTTCGGTGATATCACGCTGTGGATTATGGATACTTGGGTGGAGCCCTGCTTGTGCTGCTGCGCCGAACTTGGGTTTTGATAATGTGTTTTGTTTGCATGCCGATAGAGAGGGAGAGAGGAAGGATTCACGATGGAAGGAAGGGGCAAAGCAGGGTGGGGATGGGAATTACTGTGCATGAAGTTGTTGAACGGGGAAAAAGAAAAAAGAAAGAGGAGAATACTGTAGGTGCCGAGGGAGAGAGGATGGGGATTGCACTCGTACAGTAAATTATTGTATATCATTGATGCCGTTCATTCCAAGGCAAGTTGCTGGTACGAGTATCAAACCATACCGAGCACCATTAAAGAACTCGACTCCAATCCGTGTGCGCGAACCAGAGGTCGCGCTAGGGTCAAGTCCTTCAGGAGTCTAGACGCGCGACCCCCGTGAACCCACTCCCCCAATCACTGGACCATTGTATCATACATGGCTTTTGCACATCCTCCGTTTTTGCTTTTCAACTTCCCACTCCCATTCCCTGTCTAGCATATGACTACGGTACCGGTACCCGCCCAGTAACTTGAGTACAGTATGGCATCCCCCAGATAAGTCAACCTTTCCCCCCCATTACACCCCTATCGCCCGAAAAACAAAACAATGCGAAACAAGACCAGGCGAAACGGAGCAAAAGGGAAAAGGGAAAGGGAGGGATGTATATCTACGACAGGGAATAGGGAACACTAATACCCCAGCTATGATACCGTAACCCCCCAGAGGGGGGGGGGAGGGACAGGTAACATTACTATTGTTATCAACACACACGCACGCACGCACGCACGCACGCACGCACGCATACTTACCGCTTCACCATATCATAGCGCAGGTCTAGTCATCCGCAATGTCATAAGATAGATTAAAAGAAAGCCGCAGCAGAAATGACTGATAAGTTCAATTTGATATATCACAGAGGAACTATCCATACCAGTGGCAGTTTCGAGATCCCCGAATAGCACATGTTTGTTCCACGTCGAACGTCAGCGCGCTTCTTTCATAGAGTATCATGCAGGATCCTCACCTTGCTTATGATGGATGCTGTTTGTTTATTTGTCTGTTTTGGCCAGTGCCTGCCTGCCCACGGTCCCCTGGAATTCGGAACGCCCTGCCGCTGGGCATGGCTGGCCGGCTGACTGTTTGGAGTAATTAAGGTTATATAGTATGGGGTCCATGCTTACTATATAAACATGAAGAGGGGCAAGGCAGTCAGGGCAGGGGAAGGGAAGACCGGAAGAGTAAAGTAGGGAGGGGGGTTGAGGGGTGGGAGGAGCAGGAGTAGGAGGAGTAAGAAGAGGAGAGGAAGCAAATTGACCACCGGTAGCTAACAAAAAGCACGTGAATGCTCAGAATTGGTTCGGAGGACGCTGTGTCGTACCGGATGGAGGGGGGGAGAGAGGGGAGGAAATTACGAAGGACCCCAGTCGGAGTTCGTCTCTACCCCATCTCAGCCGATGATGATCTATGAGGCACAAGTACGGCATTACTTGCACTGCGCAGTACAGTGGGGGTTAAGGGACCGATTGACGGATCGCTCGATGAAGATGAACTCTCTCGCTCGCTTGTCAGCTAGCTAAGCCAGCTAGTAGGCCGTATACAAATACGAGTAACAAGGAGCAGAGCATACCAGTACCGGTAAATGCCCCCATAACCGAGTTCCCCGTTTTCCTAGAATTGGAGTCAGTCCGCCAGATATAATAAGCCAGATCCGAACCCCGCTAGCTAAGGTACCGTGGCTACAGTCCCGGTACCGGTACTATCCTATCAATCACACTCGCACAACAGTTGCCTTTACCGCTTGCAGTTAACCCGATGAATACTGCATTGGTTCATGAATTCCACGACACCAAGAACCTTAAACCCATCTACCAAACTCGCTCCAAAACCCCATCACTAGCGATGTCCAAGAGAGGGAAAAAAGAAAAGGAATAGAAAAAGAAAAAAGAAAAAAAAGGGAAGAAGAAAACAGCAACCGGGGAGCGCGAAACCAATCAATCAATCTGTCCCATCCACCGATCGTCGGATCTGAACTTGACCCTATCTACTACATGCACTCCTTACTCCCCCTCCCCTATCCCCCCTGCCGGGCCAAACATCCTACTCCATGCTATATATGCCCCAACAATCGAACCAACTCGTTCCCCAACCCGCGATACAGCACTCCCGAAAATAGAGGGGGTGGGGGTCGCACATCGGAGCGAGATAATTCCGTGAAGCGGTGGTTTCGCTAAAAGACGAGTTGATGGATCTGGGTACGGTAGGGTACCGGTAGGGGTATATTTATTGTAGCTGTTGTCGCAGTACCGGTAGTAGGTATTCCTGATCAACTTGTTCCGTAAATATCGATTCGTCCGTCGAAGCGAAGCTTACGCAGTGCACACTATACGGTGCGAGTGCTGGGGCAGTACTGTAAGCGGTGGAGTGAACGGGGTTATCCCGAGGGGATAGATTGCGGTGTTCGCGGCGAGACAATCGATATGGCATGGGGTAGCGGATCTGGTGGGAAATATAGTAAGTTATGATACTGTAATTGTAAGGAAGTGCAGCAGAGGAGGTATGATGGTTAGCAAGTGTGCGTAATGTCTGGGTCTTTTTACTCGTCTTCTTCTTCTTTCCAATTTCCATTATCCGAGTGAGCCGCAGAAGTCGTGCCCTGTATCATGCTCGAGTAGGGTACCGGTCTTGCGCTGACTTGCACGAGTACTGTGCCTGTACAAGTACTTGTACTAGTACTCGAAGGTACCAGTGCAGTACCGGCTCTGTACCGGTGCACAGTCCTCACCATGACCACGACAAAACTGGGCGGGAGCCGAACAAGGATTGGTAATGGGTAATTTTTCGTTACCCTACTTTAACCATTTCCGCTCCTGCCCAGTAAAATACCCCTTGTTCGCTCGCCATCCGCCCGGTTTGTGGTGGGTAAGGTCAGGACTGCGTTCAAGCTCTGCGCGTGCCCATTATCCTCCCCATTCCTTGCCGCCATTCCACTATACAAAAAACCCACGGGCGGAGCCGAAGGATCCTGATACTGTAGCAAGCAGCACTTCCCTACAACACCAGCCCCCCCCATCCATCACCACCACCAGGTACCAGGCACCATCAAGACCCGGTTCGCTTGATATCATTCATCCCCCTACCCGCCCCGATACAATAAATAGGTGGAAAGGAAAAGAAAAAGAAAAAAACTCGACCACCACACCAACAAACAGTAACGTAACAGAAATCCGATATCAACCTTCCTCCTTCCCTAGCCTTCCGGGCCGCTTGCGCATCCGCGTGGGTTGTTTCTCTTCTTTCTTCTTTCTTTTTCTTCCCCCCCGTCTTCCCCGCCAAGTGCGGACTGGTGTTTTGGCGGTAACTCGTGCCGCACCAGTCCCGAATTCACTCGAGCCTGAATTGTGCTGCTGCCGATGGGGGTATATCATTGTATCACTACCGGCGCCGGCACAGCGTTGGTGCTGGTGCTAAAAGTGTTTTTGGTTGCGCCGGGGAGTTGAACAACGGTTCCAGCCCTATCCATGGTGGAAGATGGGTGATATCATACTACTGGTATCATACCCGTGCTACGAGTTTGGGCTACAGTGTATGTGGTGTCGTCTTGCACTGGTTTACTGTTCAGTATGATATTGTGCAAGGCGACGGGACCCGGGAACCAAAACAGCAGAAAAAATAAAAGAAAGGTAAAATTTACCCGTTAACGACACTCCGTTTACTCCAACCGAGTTTTCAATAGGTTAAACCATCGGCGTTTACCTAATAATTATATCATATAACGTTCCATACGTGCAGTGCTTGTATCATAGGAAAAAATGAGAGTCGAGGTTGATAATGGGTTCAACCCCCCCCCCCCGGTTACTCGAGTACACATTTCACATGCTAAGCTTTCCCCTGCATTTCCCTGCATATCGCGGGCCCGCTTGTTGCCCCCTCTCTTTCTCGCCATCCTTACCTCCCTCCCTCCACACCTTCCGCCCGCCACGGTGTCCATCCATGATTTAGTGTGCGCTCCGAGTCAGCCCCGTCCGGAATATAGTAATTGCTTCCCCGATGCATCACTCATCGAAACACACAGCGGACTATTCGCCGCTACCTTGATAGTGTATAGTGCGGTACTGTGCTGTACTTGAGTAGCGAGATCTCAGCCTTGAGTGTGGTACTATGCGAATAACGCAGACTTTTTTTTTTTACAGTACTTTCTCGCTTTGTCACGTTGGCGGCTAACCTCCTAGACTCCCCGAAGTATGACAAGTTTGCGCGATCGATAGGCTTATTATTTGAAGAGGGGGGAATAATATCCCATTGGTTGATTGGACTTTACCCAATTACGAGATGGGCTGTGTGATTTTGTCATTTTTCTCAACCTCATTCCAATATTACTGTACAGCACGGAATAGTGCCCTCAAAAAATTGGAGGATTTAATGGGGGGAGGGGAGGAGGGGAATAAGGAAAAAGCGTGGCACTGTACGGTACTATACGGCACAGTACAGCACAGTCCGCTCGGTATGTGGAATATCGTAGCGTAAGAATTTCTCAGCAAGCCCTGCCCCCCCCCCCCACTCCGTCGCGAAGGAAGAACGAAAGAAGTATCTCCATTCGAAAGCACGCTTCACATCACAGCACTCTTACATCCAAGCACGCATGCTCTCCACCGCGCTATAGCGGCACCGTACGAGCACCGTATGATACTCTGCCCACCACCATACGTACCGATACTTACCACTGGAAGGTTAACGACTCACAACACGACATCCCGGAAACAGACACTACCGCCCCCTCTCTCCTTCTCCCTCTCTCCCTCAAGCTAGTGTCCAAGCAGGAAATGCGAGCAATCAACGGACGAAAGGGATCGACCAAACCCTTGGCATCCACCGAATAAATTAATGAAAGAAGAAATCCAAATACCCATCGAAAGGTACGCATCAGGGTTAGGTGTCGAGAGGAACATCCCCCACCGCCACAGCTGACAGGATATGAAATGATAAGCCACCCACCTCCCTATCACGAGCGGGCGCGCAAGCCTAGGTTAACTCTACCAAACTCAACGAGGGAGGGAGAATGAATGAATGAATGAAAAAGTGAAAAAGTGAAGGAAAAAAAGCACGTTGCCGCAAAGGCAAAAACACTCTGTCGACCAGGAAAAATCTTGGGTCAGAAATGTTGAGTGTGTGTAGCGGTAGTTGAGGAATGGTGTGACGGGCGGGTCTAGGGCCCGGGCGCTTCTCCATCCACCTTCTCGATTGAAGCTGTTCCCCGAGGGCAGATATTTTTCCCCCCCTCTGGTTTCGTGGGGCTTGATTCTGGGAGTGGTGGCAGTGGGTTAGTAGGGTTGGGTTCGGATGGGATAGGATGCTATGATAATATATTATGACGGGAACAAAACGGATGGGAAATTTTACTGGAAGAGAATGAAAGGAACCAACCCCACAACATGAAAGGGGGAAAAGGGAAAAGGAAAAGGAAAAGGGAAAAAAAAAAAAAAGGGATAGAAAAAGGGATGATGGACGACGGGGCAGGCAAAAGCAAACAAGCAAAAAAGGAGGGGAATAAAAATAAAATAAAAAACAAAGGATATAGATAAAAATAAAAACATTGAAAACCTTATCCATAGGCTGGACTGGGGTTGGAATACTGGTATGATATGTGCAGTGCTTGGGCGAAGTCTGAAGCTTTGATTCAGAATTCCCCGCGTCTAGTTGCTTCCCTTGCCTGCGAGAAAATGCACCGCCGTAGGACTTCCAGGGAGATCAGTCAGGTAGTGAGAGCACCAGTGCTCGAGCAGTGTTGCATATCGCGAGTGGAAGAGTAATCATCCTTCGGGTCACAGAAGACAGTCACTCCTTGACATTTTCCCCCAGAGGACCCTTACTCGATGTACGGTATCCTTGAAGACCTTACAATACTCGAGTACAGTATTGCACCATGCCATGTCCTCCCCCTCCGGGTTTCCACACAAAATGCGCAAGCCACCACAAATATGCACGACAAATTTTGCTCTTCAAACAGTAATCGGGTGGGGGAGGTTCGCAGAGAATTTGACACAATGTTATAAAATTGCTAATTTTGTTTTTTTTATTTGTTTTTCTGGATATCATACTTGTACTGGCAGTAGGTAAACGAAGGTGTTATGGTAGCGGGCACGCTTGCCAAATGGGGGTTCCCCACGAATTGTCAGTCTTGGCAGTATTTTTGAGATTGTCCGCCACAACTCTGGCACTCAATTTTTTTAGAATAGCTTCGGCAACCTGGCCATCGGTTATGTGAATCTCCGGGCCAAGTTGCGCCATCTAAAAAAGATCGCTGGACTTTTCTGAGCTTATGATTCAGCAGTGAGCAGGCGCCTATTGGGAATGGGCATTTCATAAGGAAAAACCCGGTGGGGGCCAATTTCTTTTGTCGCCAAGATCGTACTCTTTCCCATTGAGTACAAGTACGAGTACGGTATGCCTCGGTGCGTAAGCGCGTCTAAGCAATGCAATATCAAGTGTTGCAGGCATTTTGTAAAATTTTACCGCCCAGAGAAAAAGAAAGTAGTTCAAAGTGAAACCTGTAAAAGAGAGGCTTGGTACGGCAGTTCACCAACACAAAATACGCCACCTGCACCTTGCATCTACGAGCAGTGTCGACTTGCTCCACCTCGTCACCGCTTTAGACTACCATAGTGTCCTCCATGAACAACCAACCACTCAGCTCAAAAAACACTCCGACTACACTCATACCCAGCTACCCCGACCTTTCTTCAATTACCCCTGGTGCACCAATTAGCGTCATACCTTGAAATCCGGGAAGAGAAAACTCATCTAAAAAATTGCTAGGGTCGGTCTCATGCGAGACACGACCCTTATCACCCCCACCATATCACCCCCACCAGCACCAGCCCCAGCGAAGCCACCTCGATCTGCCTTCATCCCCTACGGTAATCTCCCTCGTCTCCACACACATGATTGCCATCACTTTTTCTGCGACATATCTCAATTCGCAGACTCCCAGAAGTCTGCTCACTCCAGAGAAGAAGGATGAGTGCGGACGAGCACGGAGCTCTGACTTGCACATGTGTGTGTCCCGTTCATCCAGCTCCTCTGGCACTTGCAAGAATATGGTGGAGACAGATGGCTAGTGGTTGAGGGTGGAGAGAAGATACGAGGGGACTATCAGTGGATCATAGGTAGGTAACATCACCATCTCCGATCATTTATTTGAACCCACGTCACACAAAACCTCTTTTGGTCGTCTCTCCTACCCACATCTGCTCTCTCCTACATCTCGAGATATTCACGGCGGTGCCCGTCATTCCTCAAAACGTATGTCCCGCATCTTTTGACCAAGGGCCAAAAAGAACATTATTAGATAATGGTTCTCGTCATATCCAATGCAGTGCCAGGCTCTTATGAGACTCCGTATGTAATAGCAGAACCCCCAGGGATGTCTTTGTTTCCTCTTCGACCCACTGGTGAGCCGAAGGCGCGGACAAAAGCCGACGTCCAGAAAGCCGCGTAGAATGGTATGGTTCGGCCCTCTCGACAGGTTCCCGGGGGAACATGGAGGGATACTGGGCCTATGTCGGTGCTTGCCATAGCAACTGAGTGTTGGCAATTAACGCAGACGGCTAGGTCTATCACTTGCGAGAACTGATGAAGACGTCAAGTCTCGATCAGGTGAAGGGGGCGGGTATAGATCGAGAGGATGACCACGATGAAAGGAAAGATCGGGGATAAGCCGTACTTTGCAAACACAAAGTACAGACGGACTTGAAGGAATTGCAGCATGAAGTTTGATATGCGAGACTTCCCATTCCGGAGCGTGACGACATGCCATTTTATTAACAATCGGGGTTTGCTTCCGTATGTGATCACGAGAAGGTTCGCTATGTATGCAGTGTTTCCACATGTGCAGTACAGTGCCGACGATAGCCTTCGAGGAAATTTCATGCATCTATTCAATCGAATAGATATGAAAGAGGCAAAACCTGATGTCCGTTTGTAGGGCAATTGCAGTCCGAGTCGTGCTCATAGAGAAGCCAAGCCTTCACATACAATCTCTGTCGGGATCACTGATTAACAATGGCCGTCAAGCCTCCTCACCGCCGATCTCAACCCCCAAAGCCCCAGCACCAGTAAGTCTCAGAGACGACAAAAGCCGTACAAAGAAACTGCCCTCACAGACCATACATTCAACCGAGGCGGAAATGTATCTAGAGCCAAGCCCAATGGAAGCACTCAAAGCCAAGCCCGAAAAGATCAGACGGCGGGCACCCCACATGTAGGCAATCTGCGAAACACATGACTAAAAACTTAGGGTTAAGTTCCGACACCGCGAGTGAAAATAGTCAACAAAGCAAGCTCAACACCGAGTTCATTTCCCATTGACGACAAACGGCCGGAAATTGATCGAGGAGAATGCCAGGACGTAAACTTTTCTCAAGAAACGAATTCCTTGCCGGGGTATCGAGAAACCATAGGGGGGGTTGGACTGCGTTATTATGTAATTGTCTCAAAGGAGACGAGTCGAAGAGCGACGGCGCCACAGGAATAAGAACAAGTAACACGGGAACTGAATTTTTGGTAATGGAGATGAGGTAAGGCGACCGAGAGATTTAGGTTGGAAAACAGAGGTAAGCCAGAGAGAGACAAGAGAATAATGTAGGTGGAATAGGGATGATCGATTGGATGATGAAGTGGCAGAATATGGTCCGGTGGTGATGATATGCGGGTTGTGTACAAGTAAAGTAGAAAGGGGGGAAGAAGGGAAGAAAGTAGAGAAGATGAAGTGGGAGAACGCGTCCCAATGGTTGTCACGCGTCTCTCGAGTGGAATAACTTTGTGACTTGGAGTGACCGGGACGCGGGAACTAACCATCTATAGCCTAGTGCAAGCCATTGCACAACCGTTAGGGTCCAGTGACTCGACTGGCGTTCCTGTTGTATGATACCGGTACCCTTCATGAGGTGACCTTTGAGTGTGGCCTGTGCACAGCTTGGTCCCTGTGTGGCTAGTGATGTGCGGGGCATGGGTGTCAGCCTCATTCTCCTCCGTGATAACCCTGGAGGGAAAAGTTGACCACGCAACACAAAATTGACTCGCTCACCATTGCGTCTCTGTAGCAGCCCAGTCGCGATATAGAGGTCTTTAGCTTTTCACCCGGGGAACCTCTAAAATTTCCATCGTCCCCTCATCCGATGTTATATCGGGATTAGAATTACACGGAATCCATCATTCACCTCGTCAACCCATCTGATTCGCCATCTCCTCCTCTGCGCTTTACTCTCTACCTTCTACTCTATCCACCCCCCCCCCCCCCCCCACCTTGCCACCTTCCCCTTTACTTGCGCTTCCAAGTTACCAACGTTGTTAGTCGCATTCCCACCCACTTCCTACAACACTTATCTATCTCATCGAGGCTCCTGACACTTCCCCCGTCACAACCACAACTTATAACGTACTGTGTCTTACCCTTTCTTCCAGGTTACCGGACCATGGATGCCCACCAGCCAACAGATCCTGGTGCGCCTATCTGGTACATCGGTAATCATCTTCCGACCCCGGATCTCACGATAAGTGGCCAGACCCTGGAAAATGAGGCCGTTCAAGGCGTAAGTCACCATTATGCTTCAAGCTCTTCTTGACAGACTCCCAATATTGACGCCTTGAACTAGTATGATATGATCACCACATTCATAACCAATAACAATTTCCGTTCTCGTATTAACCAGGTACTATCGAACGCTGCAGCAGAGAAGAGAACACACATAAAAATTGATTCCCTCGATGCTGAGGAGGTCACAGTTCACCCTGGTGATCACATATCACAAGTCATTGGCTTTGCTTCTCCATGGTTGGAATTTGACTCAGATGATCCACTCGTCTCTCATGTTTCAAAACAGGCTTTGCTCTACGAACTTGATTATGCCGGATTTTGCGGCATTGGTAATGTGGTAATTCCTGGGCCCCGTAAGAAGGAAAACATCCTGCAGTTCGCGGAGGTTATCAATACGGCGCTATCAGTCAGCGGCTACGCGCACCTACCGATCCTTTTACCGCTGGCTGAAAATCCCTCTAGTGTGGCTGAAGGAGACAAGTATGATGAGTTTTCTGCTTGGGATACATGGAACACAATCAGGACAGTATGCAAATACAACTCTCGGCTGTCTTTAGGTGTGCACTGCTCAAATCAAATCGTCTGTCTATATTGCTCATTGATTGCGTACAGCACTTCAGATTCCCGCAGAATTGCCCACCCTTCACGCAATGAATCGCTGGTTTGCTGAGCCTATACGCGTCATCCTGTTGTCCTCGTCGACCTTTAGCCCTAATCCAACAGGATACCCTGCTCTTTCTAAGCTTCACCAATCTCTATTGACCAAATATACAAAGCAGCGCCCAGCACCCTATATTTTACTATCAGATCAGCAGGTGGCTACGAATGAAAAGATCCGGTATGACCCGCTATCATATCTGGTTTACCTTAGGCATCTGCAAAAGAACCAGCCTCCACAATCGATAGTGGAGAAATATGGTTCTGGATATCAAGACTATCTCCAGACCCCGCTTCAACCATTGTCTGATAATCTTGAGAGTATCACTTATGAAGTGTTTGAGAAGGATCCGGTCAAGTATGATCAATATGAGAAGGCCATTAAATTGGCACTTGACGCAAGAGATGCCGCAAGTAACACGTTAGTTTTCCCTATCCTCGTACTTTTTAGTTTTTGATTGTTACACGCCTTTTTGCTGGGTTATTATCCAATATGTGATCATACCAATGCTCCTTGCGATATTGCCTGTGTCTCACTCGGGCGGTTATCTGAGTTCTAATCGCTCCCGCTTGTTTGCACACCAATCTGTCGAGCTCCGAGGCCCCAAGCACTGTCCGCATTTTCTATGCCATTTCCATGTTCGCCTTGTTTTCACCCCGTCCGTGGTCAGGATGAAAAGCTAACTTTTGTCCTTCTGCTTCTCTCTCTCTATGCAGCGTCGTGGCGGTAGTTGGTGCAGGTCGTGGGCCCCTTGTGTCCCGAGCCCTGCGAGCCGCCCAGGCTTCTGGCAGGGCGATCATGCTCTTTGCTATCGAGAAGAATCCAAACGCCTACGTGCACCTTCTTCGGCATAACCGGGACTCGTGGAATGGCCAGGTTACTGTGATTAAGAGTGATATGCGATCGTGGAATCCACCTTTTGTTGTAGATATCCTGATATCAGAGCTCCTTGGGAGTTTTGGCGATAACGAGCTAAGTCCCGAATGTCTGGATGGGGTTCAAAGAGTTTTAAACCGTAAGTTACAATTCCTTAGATACCCCGCTTCCCCTGTAGCGTTCTCTATATTTAGCCCCTTCATTCTTCGCGTCCTTAGGAGGGGGGTAGGATGAATAACAAGGGTGGATATCATCACCGAGAAGCGGTAGTTTTCTATTCAAGTTTTTTATTGAACTTAATTCATTATTTGGGCAGATGCTCCGCTGAACGCCTCGCTTACGCTATGACCAGCATCTGGAGGAATCTCAATCCCTGTCTCATATTCAGCCCATTTTACACCAATCATGGCGCCTAAAATCCATGCTGACATATCCTCGCGGAAGAACGATTCCGACGCGGCCGAGACGCCGTACGTCGTCATGTTGCAATCATTTGAGATACTCGCTGAACAGGAGCACATTCACCGAGCCTGGGAATTCACACACCCTCTACCGCCCAACGTGCTAAGCGATTCCGCTGCCCTTGGTGGGGGTCTAATCGGGCTCGGCGATGGGGGAAATGATCACAACGCCAGAAAGTGCAAGGCCACGTTTAAAGTGCCCAGGAGGGGGGTCATGCATGGGCTTGCGGGGTACTTTGAGAGCGTGTTGTACGGCGATGTGGAGCTTAGCACGAGACCGGACACAATTGACATGAAGTCCAAGGATATGATCAGTTGGTTCCCAATCTTTTTCCCGTTTAAGGTACGTAAAATATGACTTTATCTTCTCCGTAGGATTTGCCCGCTATCATGTCAGGGGCCTAGACAAGGTCCACTGCTTGCTTGCTTCTGATAGCGGCTCCTCTCGGTCCGTGGATAAGCGTTAACACGGGATGAAACAAACTAGACTCCGCTACACCTTCCAGACAATTGCGAACTTGACGTTTGCATCTGGCGACAGACCAGTGAACGCAAGGTGTGGTACGAATGGGTTGCTGAGGCCTTTACTCGCAACGGGGGCCATAGATACCGCCTTGGAGCTACTGACCTTCACTCCAGTAAACAGAATGGCTGTCTGATGTAGATTAGTACTCTACCCTGCTTTGGTTCTGCCTGAATTTCATCTTTTTTCGTGGCAAATATACCAATGCATCGATAATGTTCTTTTGCTTTGACAACAATTATAGTGACAACCTCTATGTTGCGTGTGGTGCCGGATTTGTGTGCCTGTGTATTCGTTTGTGCGCTGTGGCCACCGAGTACAAATGTCAGGCGGAGGCGCACCCCACAGCGAGCGCATCCGCATTGTATCATGCCAAAATTTCCCCATTCGCAACACCCTCACCGACTCACGTGAACTGACTTGGTGTACCAACTGCGCTCTTAGTTCTAGACCTAGCCTCTCGACCTCTTCCTCCCTTCATGAAACACCAGACTCGATTGAACTGAGCTGCTCCTGCGGTAGTATATATCCCCCCCTCAGCGGTGCCCCACTCCATCGTGCACAATATGTTGCTGGAGGAACCGCAATGATTCGGCCAGGGCGAATGGCAGTTATAGAAAGTTCTTTATTACACAGACTAAATCTCAGCTAACTTTACGCAGAGATAAGGTAGCACTATGGAAAAGCATGATAAACAACTGAGAATGACTTGCCTCACCAAAGCAGTTCCCAAATCCTCATATGTTAGGCCGCAGTCCTATTTCCGTCGTCCTAATCCCTTGCATGGGTTTAGGTTACCCTTTGTCCCTATCCTTGCCTGCCTCGTTTCCCAACCACCAAAAAAACGGAGACATGATAGGCTAGCCTGAGGTATGATAAACGATTCATCCATCCTTCCCTACAAACAGTGATGCCAAAAAAAAGTTGGACCCATCGAACCAATTATCCCTTACTGGGTCACAGATCTGTTATTGCTCTGTGCAACCCCCCCCCCCGCGCCAAGAGCAGAAATAATTTAAGCGCCGCCCGGACAACTCCGCCATCACAAAAACTCACTCGAGTCTGGGCTGCCGGTCCTTTACTCCGCTCGATAGCGCGCTTTAGCTTTGCTGGAAATTCCGAAAAATGTCTCCCATCATCGTATCGTATCGTATCGTATCGTGTTGTACGTGCAAGGGTTCATTATCCCTAGGGTCTACGATTTAATCAATCAATTACATACCCACGCTACATTCATCCATCCATCCACTGGGTCCTCCTCCGCACGTGCGAGCAAGCGAGGGTAGAGGGTATGATATGCAATGGGCACACAGCAGTGGGGAACGCATCAGGGTGGGTCCGATGTAACGTGATGCAACCTGAGACCGGCTTCCCCGACAAACAATCATATCATACTAGTACTCTCTCGTACATACTCCGAAGGATGGGTTCATCGGCGGGGAAAAAAAAATTGCTATCTCCGAATTAATTATCAATGTTTGCACTTTTCCCCCCCTGTTTGCTCTTGTCCGCAGCCCAGCCCAGCCCAGCCCAGCCCAGCCCAGCCCGGGAGTGGGCGAGATCCATCCATCGCGGGGAGCAAAAGCAAGGTGAATGGAAAGGCTCTTGATGAAACATTCAGTTTATGGACAATCGGTTCGGAGAACATATCCTGGGGAGCCTCCTTTTTTCTTTTCTTTTTCCCCCTCCTTTCTTTTTCCCCTTTCCGCTTCCTGGATGGAAGAGGGGGGATCTACGTGACGTAAGAGGGAGAGGGGGGAGATCTTGCGGGCGGGCGGGCGTCAGAATGCTTTGCCGTGGTGACACCTTGTCGTGTCATATACCTGACCTTTGGATTTAACTGGAGTTCACGGTGGAGACGTATTAACTTATTCCACCGTCCACACGTGGGGATTCATTCGGTCGTCGGTCACGGGTGATTTGCACTTAGACTAAGGGGTCTCCGTCGGGTCGAGGGAGACCTTGGAATAAGAAGCGAAAGAAGGAAGGGAAAGGTATATATTCCAGCGACGGCATCAGGGGAAGACGGATTTGCCTCGGGCTTTCAGACAACACGAGCCGACATGTGCTGTGCGCGCTTTTCTTTCTTTCTTTCTTTCTTTTTTGATATCTCATCATACTGGTACTTGTGCACGTGTGGAGGCTAGTGGGGGTTTAAGTTGGCTGAGGGTCTACGAGTAGAGCACTCGTAATATCGGTACATATCATACCGGTATCTTAAAATAGGGTGGCCGCGGGTCTTCTCCATTGACGACCTACGGTACTTACCTGCCAAGACTTCTCCCATTCTCGTGCCGTTACAGCGCGAGCAGTGAGGGTTTGCATTTCTGCATTTCCTTTGTCTCTTCCCCCCCCTTTTTTTCTCCACTTTCACCCCTACACAGAGAAAGGCGCGCAGGAAGAAAAGAAAGCAAAGCAGAGAAAATGTTTGGTATAGCACCGCGCTGTAACGAACCCCCAAGCGCAAAAGAGGCGGGGTTACACGCAACGGAGAAAAAACGGGGCACTGTGCAACCGATGATCGACGTGGAGCGGGGGGCGTCCTCGAGCTCGAGCTGGGGCTTCACATGATACTCTACGCTATATACTCTACCGGTGCTAGAAGGGAGGATAATGGCATGTGCTTTCCGTGGGGGCCTTACTGGTCCTGTGGTGCGGGTATCACTGGTTTGGGGATGGGAGGGTGAGGTCGATCAACGGGATACCGTAAATGAACTCTACTCGTGCTTTTTCATGGAACCGAGTTGGGGGGTGCATTGATGGCGTTGTTGACAAGGTATTGCTCTTATATAAGATTTCACGGGTCGACTACGAGCACGAGTATGGATGGCAGCATCGGTCAAGTGCCGGACCTGGGACCAACTCAGTGCGAAGTATCATACTGTATCATAAGTTGACTTATGATACTCGCACGGAATCCCAAACTCACAAATTCAGGTAAATTACGATATGATAATCGATGCGATAAGGCAAATACAGCCCACTCCGATGATAATACCAAAATTCACCCCCATATATACCTCTCCCCCGCAACCCACCAAGTCACTGCATCATGTCGTAGTCCACCGCCACTGCCACCGTTACACCAAACCTCGAGAACCCCGTCTGACTTATCAATCATGGGATCCCTCTGCTAAAGGCTAGATTCTTCCGCCATTCTCGATCCAGATGGGCCCGGGGAAGTGTAACAGCAGCAATAACTTACTGTACCGCTGCGCCCTCATAATTTATGTATGTATGCATGTCTGAAAATGCGGATGCAAATGCATCCCCATCCTTCAAATCCAATAGGGGAACAGGTTGAGGGAGGGGATAATCAATTGATTGCGGTATGCAAAGTACAATACTCGAGTACAGCCGCGTCCTTCCAGGTGCCCCCTCATCCCTTAGGGATGTTTTGTTGATCCTCACTTTCTTTCTTACGATTCGGTGGAGCAAATTGTGATAAAAGCTTACAATATTCTTGGAGGCATGTACGGAAACAGTTACCTACTGTAAGGGCTCTTCTTGCCGTTGTCTTGCTGTTGATAGGTATAGCTACTGAGGTGCAAGGAAGGGTATCATGTGAGAACTATACAGATGTGGCTGCACTGCTGATGTGTAAATTAGAGTACTGTAATAAATGATATTACAGAGCCTCGAGCCTTGAAAATTTGGAGGAAGGAGAAAAAAAGAAAGAAAAAAAAAAAAAAAAGTCATGAGTTCGTCAAGTCCCCGTCGTTGCTGTCCTTGTCGTTGGAAATCTGAATGCTGCTGGTGGCGGGGGCTGATAGGGGGGTATAATATCGTGCTTGTCAAGTTATATTGGAGTCAAGCTTTGTAAGTTGATGTGGGGGTGTCAAGGAGTGGGAGTGAGCGAGTCAAGCAGCTGTGGGAAAAGAAAAAGAAAAAGACCTTATCGGTCATGACCTGCGGGGACTCTTTTTTTTTTTTTTTTTTTTTTTTTGGGAGAAAGAAAGAAGCTCTCCCCCTACAAGGTTTGCAAGTATGTGCAAGTAAAACTTCAGAGGGAAACATCCGTCTCATTAGTCTTTCTTTGCATGAACTTTGTTACAGCCATCATTTTTCTTTTTCTTTTCTTACTCTCATCCTTATTCCTCACCTTGATTCACAAGAGTGAAGCCTGAGCCCTGCTCGCGCCGTTTTGAGCTAGGATCGCAAAGTTATGATTCCCGTAATATTATTATCCTTTTCGGAATATTGTGATATGATAATGGATTTTTACTTTTTCTCTCTCTCTCTCCACCACTACAACTTTGTACCCTCACTCACCATACAGGTATGAATGATATGCACCCGCCGCAATGCACACACAATGTCATCCACGCATCCAATAGGATGCCATCAGTACGTTATTCTCCGCCCTTCAATTTCTCAAACCGCTGCGGGACCTGCCCGTCCCTGTGGCATGGGGTGTCGTGGATGGGAGGAAGAAAATTTTTGATAAAGGAGAAGAAAATATACAATCTCGACCTCGGTTTCATCGCCCGCGCGATAGGGCGTGGAGTGTCAGAAAAGATTTGGATGAATGAATGGATGAACGAATCCCCGCCTATTCATCCACCCATCTATCGCAATATCATACCGGAAAATTGGTTTTGGCTTTGGGTTTGTCCGATTGGCTGAGCTATTCCTCTACCACCCCCTGGCCTGTGTTCCCCTTGATTTTTATTTTATTTTATTTTAAATCTATTTTATTTTTGTTTCCTTGACACGCTCACCGGTAGACTAGGTTTGTTTCTGCACTGTGTTGCCGACCGGTACTGCGCAGAGTAACCATTTTTGGTATTTTTCTCCGACTCGGGATCGCCGCAGGAGGAGCCTTGATCTTCGATTAACGGCCCATTGGAGTGGGGTGGAGCCGTGGGAGGGAGCATGATTCCAACCCAATCCAATACCATGCTTCACTTGGGTACTGGGCACACCCAGTGATGTAGCTTGTATGTTGACTTCAGGCAAGTTGGGTCAGGCTAATTGCGGGGATCGCAGTTGATTGGGAGGGGAGGAAATGTATCTCTCCCGTCCCAGTCGTCGCAGCCTATTGTCCTTGCCTCTCAGCACCGTTTTGAAGGGCGAAGCATTTCAGGGATCGATCGGAATGTCTCCTTTTTTACTTTTTGCTTGCGCATCTTTGGGCTATCGTAAGTTATGGATTGTCTCCTCTTTTCTCTTGCGCGGAGAGTTACGTTGCTATAAAGTGCTGCCACTTGTGTGTAGGTTCATGCGTGTTATACCGCTGGTGGACCCCGTACCTACTCGACTTTCCTCACGCACGAGCGCAAGTACGATGGAAACACAGCCGGGGATTGTAGCCCACCTACTATACTATACTTGTACTCTACTCGTACTGTGAAGCACGGTACTTTTTCTATATTGTGTAAGTTATCTCATCAACAAACTACCCTGCCCAAAACCTTCACTCCTTGTCCCCTGAACTACACCATGTAGCCCGGGTTGAATCTGGGAAGTCGTCCGTGAGCCACAAATGCCACCGGAGAAAAAGCGTTAGGGAGGGAGGGGATTTGGTTGTCCCGAGGCCTTGACCTATATCGTCTATATTTAAAGATGAAAATCTTTCCTTCCATCTGATCATCTCAAGCTTCAGGGGTCTGAAGCATCATCTGGGGCGGGACAGTGGGCAGGGGGGGAATATGCCTTGTTTTTATTCTTCTCTTTTTCGTGGCCGACCAGGTGACTAGCCACCAAACCTACAGCTCAATTTGATGATTTTATTTTCAACGATTTATTGGGGTTACGCAATTTAATATCTTCCTATATTAAATTCCTTGGATATTTGACAGGATATCCTTCCCCCATAATATTATCATAATAATAAATGAATAAGCTGTGCCTAAACGATCCTGATTCACTCGCCGGGTATCTCTCTGCTTGCATGTGGTGGTAGCTGAAGAATACTATCTCTGCGGAGCTTTTCTTTTTCTTTTTCTTTCTCTTGCTCCGGCCGGAGAACACAGCATCATGTGCGTCGTGTCCGTATGATACGCTGCGTTACGCTACCATCCATCAGGCAAGTCATAGAAGAGATATAAAACAAAAGCGAGAATTTTTCTTTTCTTTCGATCTCAAGGTTTCCCAATGAAGGACGAAATAATCAGAATAAATGAATGAACAAATTTCCGACAACCAGATTTTCAAGGTTCTCGAGTGCTGAAAAGGCATTGGCATATTCGGTAGCACAATGAATTGCCTCTCCTCCAGCTGGGGGGGGGAAGAGCGGGTGCTCGCATGTTACTAGATTTAGCAATTTATTTGAGAAGACGCGCTGGGCAAGAGCTGAAAACGGCATACAATGGTTTTCCTGCAACTATCAGGATCCATCCGCGCAGAGTACCATGCAACGCTATGACTGGACTTCCTCACAGTTTTTCCATTTCCTTCGCGAAGGAAGGAAGGAAGGGAAAAGAGACGGCGGGGACGAATGCCTTACTCGAGTGATCAATAATGATCTTCACCGGGGGTCATACCTCACTATGTACAGTACTATACGGACATGCTCCTTCGTGCAACCATGTGTGCTCCCACCCCTACCCCCCAACGGGAGAACGCATCTCCGTCATGGGTTTCAAAAGGTCTGCTGGGAGTCCGTGCCCAGCTGAGGGAGGAGAAGTGTCTTGCAAAAGGTCCTTGGTCCTTGCGGCGGTGGTCGAAGCGCTTGATGTCCCGGAGGAATGTTGGACGAAACCCACTTCCCACTACTATGCGCTGGAAGCGGGGCTTTTTCAATGCTACGCTACGCACGCATACACCTCCCTACTCGTGCGTGCGTGCGTGCGTGCGTTCGTGTGACTGCGCTGGGCTGGACATGCGGGCACAACATTGGACACTTCATCTCCTTTGTTGCCGGTACTCTGCGGGGTCTTACACGAGTGATTGTTCATGAGGAGTTTATCTGTAAGTGGCGAAGAAAGAAAGAAAAAGAGTGAGAAAGGGAGTGACATTGCATTGCAGAGCTTTTTTATTTCACCTTCCGAAAGAATTATCCATTCATTTCCCGTTGCGGCTTTAGGAAGGGAGAGATCTGTGATATGATATCATACCCAATGCCTTGGGTTGACACCTGCGTTGTCGTCGATTCCGGGGGTTATTGGATTAACCCCACCACGGAATCTCAGCGCATGGCGGGTAAAGAGGAAGGGAAGAAAAAACTTTGGGACTAAGAATTCTTTCCTATCCGGGAAGCCTTTAAATTATTTGTCACCACTCCTGCTGTTAGTTGGAGGTCCTGCACGCAGAGGGCTCCCCCCCCAATTCGCGCCCTTTCATTTACGCGGAGAGGGGGGTGGGGTCGGTATCGATTAGCTGGCACATCCAGATAGATCTGGGTGGCTTGGGTCTTCCCACCAACGGCGTCGATTCCAGGGAGTCCCCGTCGTGGAGGAAAGGGGCCACAGTATGTGGATGATTGGTGGTTTCGGTGGGGCCATCAGAGGTCTTCAATGGCTACGGGTCGGGTATGGGCTAGCACTTGATCGGTGAGCGATGGGGGGGTTCCACTACCCGCTAAATGAATGCTCGAGTGACTGGTTGTGCCTATGCGTTGGGTACTGTAGTGCTGCTACGATACTATGTTGCTAACCCTTGTCCGGGAATCTTGCTAGAACTGACTTAGCCGCACGAGCTAGTCCTGAAGAATGCTTGGATATTGAGTTATGATGCCCTAGTAATAGCGATAGGATTTCTCCCTTTCAACCAATTGGCCTGCTACCCGGGTTTGATCTGGCGTCGTACCTGTTGGACGTATGCCGGTTCGGAGGTGCCAGGGAAATACAAATATAAATTATTGAAGTACCTGCTGAGCAATCGCAGCGAACGAAATAGACGTGCTAGCTTGTGTTGAGTGGATTACACAGCTGATTTTACTTTGTCTTTCATTCTGGGATTTGTTGTTGACTGGAGCCGGTGAATGTCTGGATCTACTTGAGCAGAGGAGCCACGTCTAAAACGGAAAAGGGAGATATGGAAGAATTGGGTGGCGGTAGGAGGAGGAGTAAGGTACTGGTTACCCACCTTTTTCTCTCTCTCCTTAGGACCTACGATGCCACTACATAACTGTTCCGGGCCCAAACGAGCGTGGGTTCATCGATGCTCACTCGCCCCCACCGTCACTCGTTCGAGTACCGTAACGGAATTCCCTCAAAAGTGAGATGGGAATTTCGAACTTGAGTTCTTGTGCTAAGCGGTTAGGACGCCCATCTGATCGAGAGTCGTTCAGGTACCGTCATGGTGGATTGTTCCTCACCGACAAAAAACCGACATATATCTCATCTCAGGAGACGAATATATATAATATTATATATATACAACTCCCCTCCTGACATATGCGCTGCATTCCCCTTCAAACCAGGCTGTTCTCTGAGATTTCAAGCGGACCATGGAAATACCGCGCCGCATCCACTGTGGAACAATATCAGCCTCAGTTTGTTGTCGAGCGTAATTTGGTGGATAGGTGGTAGAAACGAGTACTGTACTCGTGCTTCAAGGAATAGATGAATTCCATGAGGTTGTCTTTGCCCATTTTAGTTGAGCAGCGCGATTCCCTCCCTCCTCGTATAGAGCGGGTGATTTTAATTCAAGCTATAAAGCTAAAGTTGAGTAGCAGTCGAGACACACCCCTCTGGCTGGCTTTCGAGAAATGTGAGGGAGAATGGCACTGCCAAGGAATTATTATAACCCCAAGATAGTACTGCAAATTAGACGGGTATTTTACCCTTTTCGATAACCACACGATGTCACTCGATATAAAACATCCTGGGAAAGGTTAGAATTATCGGTCCGAAAACACTACTTTTTGCGATACCGTTCTTTCTCCAGACACAGCGAGGGTCCCGGCTCGTCTTGTGGGTTGTGTGGGTGGTTTTTATAAACAGCAGTTGAAAGAATTCTGTACGTGCGCAGTTAGTGCTCGTTGTGCCGGGTGCAAGCTTTGTCGGGAAAACATTGTACCATTAAATTAGGCAGTGATATTTATCATGCTCTAGTGAGGCCTTTCTATCGTACATGTGCCTCCAACAAACGGACAAAATGAATGCCGGAATTGTCCTGCTGAACAGTTCCGACTCGTCCAGAGCTCCTCCTAAATTCTACAACCTTTGTCCCAGTCGCATCCTCTTTCTCCGGCGCCTTCTCTCTTTTTTGTCTAGTAGCGGGTGCTCCAGAAGTGGAAATTTCTCTCCCGATATAGTAGCATTGACCTTCGCTTTAACTTTCAGTCTGCCTTCAATTGCCCCCCCAACAACCACGGATACCTCCTTGAAAACCGGCTTCCGGCCCTCTTCGGGGCCTCGGTAGCAGCCTCTCCCAGGTCCTTCCTGTTCGCTTCCTGGTTTTCTGTTGCATGCTCACCTTCACCCTTCCCCGGTCGTGCCCATTTCGGTGGGCTCGGCCATTCCTTCTCGCCCCGTCGCCGGTAACTTACACCCTCCTCTCTGGACCATCCCATCCCCTCCTCTTCCCCCGGCACGCTTAGATCCTGAGGTCCATTGTGCCGCCTCAGGGGGGCAGGACGCTGACTCTAGGCGCGCGCTTCCGGCGGTCTCGATCCGTGATGGCGCCTTCGCAGGGCTCTGAGTGGTGCTACTTCTGAGTCATGAGTCTGCGGGCCCATGTCTCCTTGATTACTAGGAAGAGGGAGGAAAGGCCCATGTTCCCCTCTGGGGCCGTATCGGAATGGTAGATGTCGTGGTGGTGGCGGTGGTGGTGTCTAAGGCTATGGGGATGCCAAGTTCTTTAATAAACGGGGAGCAAGTCGTGGATTGTCCATGGCTGGGAAGGGCTATTAGGTAGTATCGGAAGGAGAATAGAGATGGGAATGAAACTAGTCGCGTCGTCGCCGTTCTCGAGAACAAGCCTACCGTATCTTTAGGATTGCCCAAAAGCTTGACATGGTTCTTCCTGGGCCGTGACAGCGTCTCCTCCTTCCCTTCAAATACTCCCTTCGTGCGCAAAATCACGACAGCATGCCCATCCGCCTGATCCTTCAATCCCAGTGAACCCAGCAGCAGCTAAGAGTGGTAGCCCAAACCTCTGATGGAGGCCTCGACAACCCCCTCCGCGGGCTTCTCGACTGTGCGAATCGCCCTGAGTGTGCCGTCAACCGGCGACCATACTCCATCGCCAACCTCCCCGCCTAAGCCAAGGGTTCTCTGGCAAGATCGCGGGGGAACAACCATATTGTGCGTGACTGGCGAACGGAAACGTATCACTCGATATCTGCAGAAGCTTGATATCGCACTTTTCGTCCCATTTGATCAAATTGCAGAGATCCTAGGGATTCGTGAGATAGAGTGACTCGGCATGGGCTTGGCCGAAGGAAGCTTGCTTTAAGATGACATCTATCCGGTGGGCTCCGGGGCGAGGAACTGGAAGGTCGGAGGATCTGAGGTATGATATGATATAGGTATTTAAGCGTGCCTAATTCTCTCCCCATCAGCTTTCTGCCCTCAAGAATTGGACAACAAACAAATCCCCACCTTCCATTCCAAAGAATCGGCACATAATCGCTATCGGCCGCAGGAAGCTTTCTCGCTGCCACTCCAGTGCCACTGGATTTGGAGATGGGGTTTTTTTTTAACCCTCTTCCCCTTCCCCTGCTCCCCCCAAACTACCCTCTTCATTAATAGTCTCTCCCTCCGAAAAGCTCGGAATCCTCCCCTTTGGGGGGGAAGGAAGGGCTCCGGAGCATCACGCTCTTTCTCTTCGCCATCGCGCAGAATCCTAGTTGCCCCGTCCAAACAGATCCCTCCTGGGGTGAACGGAATCCTTAGCAAGTGGTGATCGGAATAGAATGAATACTTGACACGGCAAGACAGCAAGACAGCGTACAAAAAACCCAATACAACAAAAGTAAACGTAAAAACACTTCCCTCCCCTCTGCTGCAATGTGGCGGTGGTCTGGGAAAGAAGCTCTAAGGGAGGAGCACGGCTTAAGAGGGGTGCCCCAGCCTGTTCGCCCACCGTAAATTCTTGGTTCTTGATAAACCTAATTCTGGTTCCTTAGGCAAGATTGCCTGTCTAAAACTTCCCCCAATGTCATAGATTGGTGATGCTCATCGAGCCGACCTAACATGGATGAGTTGGGACATGATACTAGTTTGGTGATTTTATGGTGAACCGACCGTACTCGAGTATTGTTATACGGCGGCTTGAGTACTAGGCTACTAGTGCAGAGGATAGTACGGGAAGCTAAGTTTGGACGTCAATAAAAATTAAATAGAGATAATCTACAAGTACGGTGCAGTACTGTATAAAAAATAACGTTCAATCCGTAACAATCTACAGTACAATACTTGTATCAGCAGCTAGATATAAAATCGACAAAAAACTGCAATGAACTTGGTTTGGATATTATATTTGAATTTTAGCACCATCCTAGTATGACAGCTCTTCGCCAACACCCAATGCAGTGCTTCCCATGAACCTCCCTGGGAGCTCAGACTAAACCCAAGAAAGCAAAAAAAGTGAGAAAATTTTTCGTAGACGTATGAGGGAGCCGGGAGCGCAATAACTACTGTCAGAAGATGAACCATTACCGCTTCCCCACAGGTCCATACCTAAATTTCAAAAGGAAAGGGACGAATGAAAAGCAAAAAAGGAAAAGAGCCAGCGAGTACCAAGAAAATAACTGCATTGAATGCGAATAGTGTAGTCGTCCTCCACGTGGGAACACTAAGTAGAACCAAGCAAATAGAACAATACAAAGGAAAACCGAATCCAGACTTGTTATCCCAACCTTTTCCACATCCTTGACAATGAACAAGCTGACCTAGCAATGAAAAAAAAGAGGCCATTCCCCAGCAATGCTAGATAAAAAGCCCAAAACTAACTGATTAAACGTTTACCCAAACCCTCCCGAAACATTGCCATACCTTGTCATCGACGACGTTCGATTTACTGTTCCATGAGCATCCAGAATCAGCTTATTATTCCCCATAACCTCGCAGGCCCCGACATAGTAACTACTGATGCGATTGTTTGGCTTGGATCAATGAACGCCGGTTCTTGCAAGGGAAAACTGAAGGACTGCTTGAAAAGCGGGTGACTCGCTTCAGCCGATACCAAACGCAACGCGAACCAGGTGAGAAGATCGAGTAGAAGAACCCCAGACCATTGATCGTGTCGAACATAAAACAAAGAAAAAAGGATTGTAATCAAGGTGTACCAACCAAAACATCATCGTCCATACCGATATCACCACCATTGGTGGCTTGGGTAGTATTATTGGCTGGTGTGTTTCCAGTATTGCCGCCATCGAAGTAGTCGGCCATATCAGCGTCGAGCTCATCTGCAGTCTTCTTCTTTTCTCTGCCAGGGCGCCCAGCGCCAGCACGCCCACCTCCACGACGAGACTTACCAGCGCGAGCTGGCTTGGAAGTAGCCGGCTTAGGCTTGTTGTTAACGGTTTTGGCTCCAGGGAGGGGCTTGGGAGCTCTAGGTAAAGTTAGAATAAGGACTAAACGACAAATAAACCAAGGCTACTGTACCCAATACGGTCGGCAAAGTTAGAAGATGGCGCGTTGGGATCAACGACGAGCTCAACCTGTCATCTATATTAGTAATTGCGTCTTCATCAAGAATTTTTCGTAGCCTACCTTCATAGGTCTTCTATCAACTTCAACCCCGTTGTATTTCTGAGCGGCCGTGGCAGCATCGGAGGATCTAGAGAACTCAACCGTGGCAATGCCACGAGAGTGGCCGTTGGGGCCATAAGTAATAACACAACGTTTGATCGGGCCGACAACTTTGGTGAAGTATTCCTTTAACGCAAGAAAGCTATTGTTAGAATAGGTTGCCCCAGAAAAGATCCCATATCCGCTCGCAGAAATATTTAGGCGATTGGAGAAGAAAAAAGTGCTGTTGTAAGAAGCATGCGGATGGGAGGAAGGGGATGCATGCAACAAAGCTACGGAAACCGGAGCGAGCCTTGAGCCAACAAGCGTCCCAAGATGCTGCAAGAAAACTGTAAGTGACTCCAAATTGCAACCGTAGCGAACGACGATGTATGGCCCTGAATAGTAGATGCCGTTGAGACCCGACAAGCTTGACGTCCTAGTTGAAAACACAAAGAAAAACGAGACCTGACAACCTGCAGAACATGATGTGTCTTTCAAGAAACGCTGAGCATGCGACGCCTGAACTTTGGGTTTCATGTGCTTCCTCAGGTGCCTTCCAAGTGATACAACCTCTCCCGATCCGAGTCCAATCGATGTAAGCTGCTAGTAAATGCTCTCGATCTTTCATCGTTTCGTTCCTCAAGGGTAAATCAAATGGGTGCGCGCCAAGCCTCACCAACAGGGCCTCATTTTGAGATGAGTTTGACTTTTGGATCATCTTTGCCCTGAAACAGTGATGACAAACATCGAAATAGATAATTGCCAAAAGGTCGGCGCCTGAATGAAAACAGGGGGGAAAAAAAATTCTTGCCAGTGTTTATGAAATGCACACCCACACCAGAAGGAAATTAGACGTCAAAGCGCCCGATCAGGAGCCACATCATCGTTCGCTTTGCACGGATTTGGAATCGAGTCGCAGTTTAAGGCAGAAGTATCAGAAGGGGGTATACACGGTCTTCATCCTCAATCGATCATCCTCAAAATCGAAGAGCTTGGAAGAGTTGAAGCTTGTTGCCCGCTCCGGCTCCGTAGCGTTCGTGCTTCATCCCCAACACATGCTGCTATGACTTCGTTCTGCAAGTCAACATACCTTGATCATCGCCTCAGAAACATCGAAGGGCTATTTGAAAAATTATTAGTCGATGACACGAGAAACACGTGGTGTAAAAAAATAACAGTGAAAATCAAGAAATGACTCACCAGGTTGGAAACAATAATCTTTGACGCAGTAACCTTGCCCGAAGGCCCAGTAGGGACATTGCTAGAGGTCTTCGAAGTGTTTTGGGTAACGGCGACATTGGCCTTGTGGGCGGCGGCTCTCTGAGAGCGTTTGCGAATACCACCGGCAGAAGCGTTGGAAGCACCTCCCTTTCCGCCGCGGCGAGAACCACGGGGACGCTCAGCAAGAATCTCGTCGAGGGACTGGTCAAGTTTGGAAGTCATGGTGATTGAGGTTGGAGTAAAAAAAAAAAAAGGTTGGAGCTGAGGGAGGTGAGCAGGAGTTCGCGGTTTATTTTGAGTTTCTGGCGCGGGACAGAAGACGAAGCTTTCAGATTACGATGAGGAAAGTAAGAAAAGGTGGGTAGAGTGGGGATGCACGAAGAGGCGGTTTGTCTTGTTGCTGGTGAAGGCAGGAAGAGAGGAAATAAGGAAGGGACGAAGAAAAGGGCGTTGGTGTTGTTGATGTGTTGATGTGGGAAGGTGATGAGGAGGATGGAGGGGGAGGAAGACGGGGCAGAGGAAAACGAAGGGCAGGGAGGGAAAAGGAGAGATGGCGGCTGAGGCAAGCGACTGGCGAGCCACTTAGAAGACAAGTATCAAGTGTGACTAAGCAAACGCTCAGCCACGCAACACACCAGCTGAGTCGAGCTGGTGTCATAGAATTACAAAAACACTGATTTATGATGCCATGAAAGATAGACTACGGTATCACAATACGAGTGCTCCTCATCATTCTTTCCCCTTTCTATGCATAAGATCGTGAGTGGATGAGTTCTTTGAGTTCCTCATGAGTTCTATCATAATAATAATATTATGTACGAGTACTTTATTCTGCCACCGCCACAACGAGGATCATACAAACTACCGGGTGGAAAGTCTTGGCACTCCCCCACTGCACAGACAATTCAATTCAAATGAAAGATTGTGAACGCAAAAACAGAAAGAAAATAAAATTTTAAGAGATATGTAAAATGAAAGAAGGAAAGCCAGTAATTCCATCACCACTTTGTATGTCTCCCATTTGCGTGCAAAACCTCCCTAATTTGCTCCAGTATTGAGTAAATCCAGTGGTCAAGTACACTCTGTAGAATTTGTTCCCACTCATCCTGTGCGGCTTGGCTGAGCTCCTCTTCAGTTTGGGGGTGAAAGTATCATTGCCTGAATTGCTTCCATAGCCTTTGCTTGAGCGCATTCTCAATGGGATTGAGATCAGGTGATGAGGCTGGCCAAGATAATATCTGTATCCTACTTTGAGCAAGAAAGTGGCTGATTTTCTTTGCTCAATGCGGTCCAGCACCATCCTGCATGAAGTGTAGCCCATGAGGCTCTCCCTGAAGCCTCTCCCAATATGGAATAAGATACAGTATCAGAACCTCATTCCTATATTGAGTAGCATTTAGTCCACCTCGATCTCTCTCTCTTTCATACTCCTCAGGCCTACAGTGACGAAGGAATATGAACAGGATACAACTTCCATAGGAATAAGCAGCTCAAAAGCTTATATCAAATCGCCTGGAGTAAAATGTTGGCTGGATATATTGGGGCTAAAGAGAAGTTCTATGACGGCGGCATATAAGTAATAGTCCTAATCTTAAACCAACTTCAATTCGAACCTCATCACATCAGATGATCTTCCTCCAATCTTCTTTCTTCCATTTCCTCTTCTTCAAACACCATATCCTCCTCTTTATCATAGCCTTCTTGCTCAACCAAAAATTTCTCTTTATCAGGAAAACTCCAAATTTTAACTCCCTTAATACTGTAACTGGTATGGGTACTTGGTTATTGGTTTTGTTTTATGTTTTGTTTTAAGTATTGCTTTGATACTTGGTTTGTTTTAAGTATCGTTTGATACTTGGTTTTGTTTTATATTTTGTTTTAAGTATCGCTTTGATACTTGGTTTGTTTTAAGTATCGTTTGATACTTGGTTTTGTTTTATGTTTTGTTTTAAGTATCGCTTTGATACTTGGTTTGTTTTGAGTATCGTTTGATACTTGGTTTTGTTTTATATTGTGTTTTAAGTATCGCTTTGATACTTGGTTTTGTTTTATGTTTTGTTTTAAGTATCGCTTTGATACTTGGTTTGTTTTAAGTATCGTTTGATACTTGGTTTTGTTTTATGTTTTATTTTTAAGTATCGCTTTGATACTTAATTTGTTTTAACAAAGTGTATCCATTGATATCTTTGATTAGTTTCGTTCATGCTAGACATGAACAGATTTGTGTATTTAAAGACCGTGTAACGATCCCTCTCTGGATAGTTAATGCTTGGCGACGGGGAACGATACTTCTCTTCCTGTCTTCTTCCTCCTTTGTCTTACGATAGCTCTAGGCCTCTGCCTAGGTTACCGATAGTACAAGACCCTTGTCTTCTACCGGGAACGCCTATCGTAAGCTTTCTCTAACTCTTCTTCGTAAAGCGCCTTCCTTGGCGTAACGATAACATTGCAATAAAGATAAAGATCGTAAAGGTGTTTTATATTCATTAAAGTAATAAGTAGGAAAAGTACTTAGAACAAAGCGTGAAGAGCCTATCTTCCTCGGCCGCATCGGCCTCCTTATATAGTGTTCTTCCCGCCTTTAGTCATGAGACCTAAAGTGGTCACATGTGCGAAACTAAATCATAACAAACTAGTCATATGACCAAAGTGATCACATGCTCAAAACCCATGACCTCATAGCGAGGTCATGTGCGAAACTCATAAACCAATCATAACGCAATAAACAAGTCATATGACTCGACTGAGTCATATGCACGAAACCCATGACATCATAATGAGCTCATGTGTGAAACATAAATCATATGCGCAAGGCTTGCCCGTAAGGCATACTCGTAAGGCATACTCGTCAGGCGCATGTCCCATGACTCATACTTGAGCCATGTGCGAAAGCATCACAAATCCCACACATAACTAATCATACAACCCGAATAGGTTATATGCATGAAACAATAACATACCTGTGACTCATAACCATGTGTCACGTGAAAACCCTTTCCTCACTAAGCCACGTTCGTGACATTAGCTCCCCTCCTCCTAAGCCTGAGTCCCATCAGGCTTTTTCTCCCAGTTTCAATAGTTCCCGTCCTGCCAAGTGCATTGTCCTTCTCAGCTTGTGGAACTTTTCGTCTGCCGTCCTCCATCTGACCCTTACCGATTCCAGAGTCAGATTCGCCATCTCAATCGTTTGCCTCTGCTTGTCGTTCAGCTGTTTAAGCTCCGCGATCGTTTTGTCGTTTGCCGAAATTGTGGCCTCGGCTTGGCCCAGTTGTTCTCGGAGTCCCCGGATCTGCCTGTATAGGCTCCTGACATCCGGTTCCGTGTCTGCCGAGGAGTTTTGGGCCCCTCCCTCCTTGGACCGCGTCCTCGCGGCCCATGCCTTTCTGGCATCTTCTCCTTACTCACTCTTTTCGGCTTCCATCTTTCTGCGGGTAAAATCCCGCAGATATTTTTTGTGCCCTGTGCATCCTGCACCCATTTCTGAAGCATTGTTGCCAATGCTTTAGAACGTGGTCCGGGCGTAGGCCACGCTTCCGACATTTCCTCGGGAACCATCCCGAGCCTTCTTTGTCGCCAAAGTGTGTTTGGCAACCGTCATCGTAGCATACTGTCCAAGACATGGCGTTATGCTGTGCTTGTTTTTCCCTTTCCTTGAGTTCTTCGTCGGTTGACCCCATGAATGAGTATTCGGGGCTGGTGGGTGTGGTTTGGCGGGGGCTATCGCCCCAGCCCTCGTGTTGCTGCAATGGCGCGGGAGTCTTTCCCTCGCTTTTGTCTTTGTTGAACGTGATCGCCACTTGGGCCGGGCTTGCCTGGGTATCGCTGGTGGAAGGTTGAGATGACATCTTGTGCGTTTTCGAAGTTGTGTGCGAAGTACCAAGTTTTATCGTGTTCAGGAGAATATCCTATCCACTTGGCTTGGTATTGGAGGTGACCGTGGAAGAAGCGGGAATTGACTATTTCGTCGAGCTCGTATTCTGGTTCTCCGTCGAGTTCGATTGGAGGGGGAGGAATAACTATTTGTGAGGGAAATTTATTGTCGTTGTGTAATTCGAGGAGTGAGATGTGGAATGTATTATGTATTCGCATTGAGGGGGGAAGGTCAAGTTTATAAGCTCGACTGCCCACTTTTTCCAATATCCTGAAGGGTCTAATTTTCTTCTAGTCCAGTTTCTTTGATGGTCGTGTTGTATGGATATTGCGTGGTATTAGCCATACCATGTTTCCTGGTTGTATGTTTGGATTCGGTCTTCGATGCTTATTGTATTGTTCTTTTTGCCATTGTTGGGCTTGACTCATTTCGTATTGTAAGGTTTCGTGTAGTTTTCCCATATCCGCTTTCTCCGGTATCACATCATTAATTGTATGATATGTAGTCTGACTTTGTGGATGTTGTCCGTAATTCGCCAAGAAGGGTGTCGTGCCAATTATTTCTTGCTTTCCATTGTTGTATGCGAATTCGGCCATCGATAACAGCTTGTACCAATCATCTTGCTGATAGTTGACATAGGCCCTTAAATATTGTTCGAGTATCGCATTTACCCGTTCTGTTTGTCCATCTGTTTGTGGGTGGAACGCTGTGCTCATTCTGTTTTGTATTCCCATTTCTCCGGTTACTTTCTTCCATAGTCCCGATGTGAATAGTGTTCCTTGATCGGTAATGATATTCTTTGGGAGGCCGTGAAGTCGAAAGACCTCTCGGAAGAATATTTGTATAAAATCCCTCGTGTTGATGTCTTTTCTAACCGGAATGAAATGACTCATTTTGGTCAGGCGATCCACCACAACCAGGATGCTATCGCAATTTTCCGATGTTGGTAGGTCCGTGATGAAATCCATAGTAATTGTTTCCCATGGTTGTTCGGGGACTTCGTTTGATTTTAGTAATCCATATGGTGCGTGTTTAGCCGTTTTCGTTCTTTGGCATATGTCGTAGTTTTTGACATATCGTTTGACATCTTCGCGCAGTCCTGGCCAATAGAATGATCTCGTGATGAATTCCGTGGTTTTAGCCATTCCTCCGTGTCCTGCCGTTCGGATATCATGGTGTTGTCGTATGATGTCTGTCCTTATCTCCTCTTCTTCTGGGATCCATTGTTTTCCATCGTACCACATATTTCCGTCCTTCCATTGGCATAACCCCAGTGCAATTCCTTTCATCTCCTTTTTTCTTTCTTCCAAGGCTTCTCTTATTACCTGGATTGTTTTATCTTTCTCCTTTGCATCCTCAATTCCTCTTTCCTCCTTTGATGTGAATTGGATAACCTCCATGGCCTCGAAGTACGTTTTTGGTAATAGGGTCCGTGTTTTCTGTTTGATCCTTTCATCTTCTTTCGTTTGTGGTTAGTCGCTTGCAATCCTTGTAAGAGCATCTGGCTTTCCGCTTTCATTTCCTGGTCAGTATT